ACAGGCTCTTTGTGCTTCTTCCCTGAAACCAAAGTTATACCAGAAAGTGGAAACCTCTTGTTCTCAGGCTCTGTGTTCACAAACCATGCTTAATTTTTCCATTAGGGAACCCACATAGAAAGAGAGCTACCTTATAGGACTTAATAGGAGATAATAAAGTGGTGATTGCATAACCATATTAAACTTGCTACAAATGATGTCAGCCCTCAATAATGTGAGAGAATTTTTTATCACTGTGTAGCCATCATTCACTCTGGTGTTAGGAAGTTACAAATAGGCTACCCTACTACTTCCTGTGTCCTTTGAAGTAGTCTTTAAGGTACTTAGTCACTGAGTTCATTGAGTCATGAAATGTGATTATGTTTATTTTTAAAAAAATTTATTGTATTTTGGTTTGCATACAAAATTCATAAACATTGTGATTCACACTTTCCTTCATTCACATCTTCTTTCACACAATGTGACTTTTTAAGCAAAGAACTTTACTCAAAGGAAAAGATAACACAGAAACATGAAGAAATCATACTTCTGAGGGAGGACAGATGCAGTGTGTGTAGTATCTGTATGCTCCCAGGCATTTGTTTATTTAAGGCAATAAAGAGATAGTTTGTAAAAAACCCTAGGGTCATGAAACTTCTGATTCATTCATTGTGTGTAAAAGAATCAAAATAAGATCAAAGCCAAAGAAGGAAGCAGAGGAATCATTATTTCTGGCATAACTGGCAAAAACCCTATTATAAAAAATTAAGGGGAAATTGGATTTGCAAATGTAAATGGAAGAAATTAGACCTATAGTTCATATCATAAACAAAAACTAACTAAAAGTAGATCAATTATCTAACTCTAAGAACTAAACAGCAAAATTGCTGTAACAAGAAAGGGATGAAGCTTAGGATCCACTATTCAATAATAAAATCTTAAATCTGTCACAAAAATTACAAGCAGTAAATTACAAAATAGATAAAGTGGACATCAATGAAATGTAAAACTTCTGTGCTTCAAAGGGCTTTATCAACAAAGTTAAATAACCTAAAAAATGAGAGAAAATAATGTAGGAAATAAATACATAATAAAGAGATCCACTCCCTAGACATGCCTCTGGAAACTATGAAATGATAAATGACGGTAGTAAATATCAGGTGGGATAGACTAAAATTCATTTAAAATACATTTTATAAGAAATATAAACACAGATTATGCACATGATTTCACCTGATGGTATGCATAGGAATCATACTGATTACATCTGTGGAAAGAGCCACTGGAGAAGCAAGCTCAATATCAGCTGTGAAAACTAGGCCAGGTGCTGATTGTGGAACAAACCACTAACTACTCATATGCAAGTTCAAGCTAAAGCTGAGGAAAATGAAATCGAATCCACAGGAACCAAAATATGACTTTGAGTCTATCCCACCTGAATTTCAAAACCATCTCAGGAACAGGATTGAGGCCTTGAACACCAATGCGCAAAGACCAGATGAGTTGTGGGAGGATATCAAGAATATCATCCAGGAAGAGTACAAAAGGAGAAGACTTAAATGGATGTCAGAAGAGACTCTGAATACAGCACTAGAGCACTGAGAAGCCAAAGCAGAGGGGAGAATTCAAGATATTAAAAAACACAACAGAAGATTTCAAAAGGCAGCATGTGAAGACAAAGTATTATAATGAAATGTACAAGGAGCTGGAGTCAGAAAATCAGAAGAGATGAACTCGCTCAGCATTTCTTAACTGAAGGAAATGAAGAACAAATTCAAACCTCCAGTTGCAATTAAGGATGCTTTGGGCAGAATATT